CTGATGTAGTGATTGAATACATGTATATGTGAAAATATATGGTACAATTTGAATATTTTTTCTCGTACGTTTACTTTTTATGTTTCTGTGTAGGAACGCAAGGCTCACATTAAATATATATATAACTTCAATGACGTTCTTTACAGTCTAAGATATTTGATTATAATTTTTTATAATGTTAACAATTTATTTGTTGAATTTCGCGCAAAGCTACCGGAGAGCTATCTGCGCTAGCCATCCCAACTCTTGTCGAATCGAATGAAGGAATTTGACCGTCACTTCTATAACGCAACCTCCATTGGCACAGCGGTATTTCTGCGGACTTACAACGCTAGAAACCGGGTTTCGATACCCGAGGTGGGCAGAGCACAGATAGCCCATAGTATAGCTTTGTGCTTAACTTCAAACAATCAATAAAACTAAATAAATATTGTCATTTTCACCCCGCTTGAATATCTAAGTGACTTATTTTGGTGAAGAGTTTTCACAGTATTTAATAATATACATATTTCGTCTTTCCTTTTTTAAACGTTTTGTTAAACTATAAATCTGTTGTTTTTGTTTCTTAGCGCAAAGCTGTACAAATAGCTATGTGCGTTCTGTTAACCACGGGGAACTGTTCCCGAATTTTAGCATTGTAAGCCCGAAAACTTAGAGCTGACTCACTGGGGAAGAAAGTAAAAATTCAAATGTACGTGTTCAGATAATTTTCAGATCCTGTTGAATATACACATCTATCTTAGCGAATTGTTTATATTTAGGGCAAATACGTCCAGGATACAAATAGTAATATATGTGAAGAATTTAGTGTTTCATTATAAAAAATAAAAAAAAAGCTTTATTAGTTATATAATTTCCGTTTAAAGTATGCTCATTGGCGATATTTGGACAAATCAAGCACATTCCCCATGTTGTCCAAATCTTTAACTAGATAAAAGGGAAGGGTTTGTTTGTAATTAAGCACAAAGCTACACAATGGGCTAGCTGTACTCTGCCCACCACGGGTATCGAAACCCGGATTCTAGCATTATAAGTCCGCAGACATACCGCTGTACAACTGGGGGCGGGGGCAAGAGGGAAAGGAATTAGTCCTAGTGGAGTGGTTTCAAGGGATATACAGATGTTATACATTGCGCTATTGTATCCTCGTTGGTCGATTTAAAAGGTATTAATTCAACAAAATTCAGTGCTTTCATCTGCTACAGCAATTCCCCTTTTCTTTATAATTTTATACATGTAAAGAGCGCTATCTGTCTCAGTTTGAAAGCTACACAGTGAGTCACTATAGGTTACAGAATAACAAATAACTGTGCTAGTGACTTTGAAAAAAAAATTACATAGTTGTAAGTGTACTAGTTTTTCAATGTCTCAAAATATAAGCTAATTTTTCCTTCAATATAATAGCAAGCTGGCAGAGAATTTTTAAGTTATTACCGTCATAGATATAACACATATTTACGTTATGTATAATACATATAATTTTTTTGCATAAACTTTAAACAAGTACATGGGAAATAGTTACCGAAAAATAACAAAAATAAATCAATCTGTGAATCATATTTGATATAAGTTGGTAATGTTGGGCTATAAAAACAGTTAACTGCGTGTGATTGATAACAGCGATTCAATATTTTCTTACATTCCGTTTATGCTATATTCGTTTCGTTGATGGTGTTTTGTTATTTTTTCAGGTTAATGTCAAAACTACGTCTGTAATTCCCATTTGAGGATAAATACCCAATGACGTTGCACAGATTACGCATTCCAGCAATATATACAATATAAAACTGGCGTGATGTAAAAAAATATATATTAACGTCCTAGACCAGGAGTGATTGCTCGAAAAGTTTTTTTTTTCTTTTTATAAATAAACAACTTTCTTTTATGTTATTTTTTCAGATTAGTGTCACATACCGACTTTTTCTTCGTTGGCTTCTGAGTTATGATATTAGCTTTTTCATTTATAATAGGAAGCTTATTTTTTGTTAAACCACGATGTTGGCTTATTACAGAAAAGAGAAATCAAATCCTAATTTAGGTAGTTATAAGTAGGCTTAATTCCGGTATTAGAAGTATCTGAATAGCAGACTAAGTTGATGTCTGATGAAACTTCTTTATCTGGAATCATTTCTCTCTCTTGATTGTATACGAGTGTGTAGTTAAAATAATGTTGCGTCATCGAGATCATGTGTTTCTCACGCCCTCTTGTTTCTAGAACTATCCCGTATCTTGGCGAATGCTCTAGTATTTACTAGATGGGGTAGGCTGGTATATAAAAGAAGGGAGTAAT